GGCCTGTAACAAATGTTCCTGATACATGTTGTAGGGTCCAAGACAGCCCCGAGGGCAGCGATGTCTTGACAGGGTTGGCTGTGTGCTGAGCTCAGTCACGCACCTTGTTTTCTTATGAAATCTAGAAGTCCTTTGTCTCTTGTTAAAGGAATTCTCCGGTGAAACGAAATCTCCCCTACCAGAACATTTCTCTCAGTGAGCCTGTGTTCCCCCACCTTCAATTGTCGCACGGTGTTGTTCGTATCTGCGACAAATTATTTTAAAATTTCCCTAGCATGTTTCACCATCCGTTTGGTTTGGAGTTTTTCACGCACCTTGTAATTGGAAGCAACACACTAAGGTCGCACACACATCTCTTTAGATTGTTTACTTTGGGTGAAAAATCATATTTCTGTCAATTTCTCAGGTTTGGATGTTTTCAATAATTTCTTTTCTTTCAAACTTGTAACTCCCGGTGTTTTTCATTGAATCGTTTGTCGACTCACTGTTAATGATAGAGCATGACAGAAAAGTGTTTATACAAAATATGTTAAACGGAGTTTTCGCGTATGAGCGGGTGCAGCGCCATGCTATCGTTATGTTGTCTTTGAAAATATCGACATAACGTTGAATGATCGCTGCCGCATCGTGTAGAGAATCACCCAGTAATGAGATGCTGCCAGGCGGATTATGTGGCTATACAGTCTTCCCAAGCCGCTCATCTGAAATAAATTACTCATATTAAATAAATATGTAACCTGTAGTCTTGTAACTGATACATGCAAATGGTCGATTTTTTGTTATATATCAGAGAGTCAGAGACATATAGTTTGGTGATACTGATACGGTTATACTGAGCTAAATTGATACTCAGTTCTGGATTAATATATTCCTCTTATGAGTGTAATAAAGTTTTAGATGTTAAGATAATATAGACATATTTCCGTCATATTTAGCTGATTTAATAACTCCTAACAAACTCATCGCCATAAGGAGCAAAGGAGACAATGATGTCACACGCTTAAAATAATTTCAGATAGAAAACTCAATATTTCGTAATTTAACTATTTTAACCATTCTTTGATAATGCATTTAATTGGACACAATAATACCGTTCAACGAGGCAGTATCAGCTGCTTTAACCCAGCTCTATCAGGCAGAACCTTACGCGTCACGTCAATAATTTTAAAAGGATTTCGGCATACAATTGTTCCAAGTCTATAGTAAATACGATGCAATTCATGTCATTGTCTAAAATTTTGTGATATTTCAAAAACTACACCGATTATGTTTTCATAATCACCTTATGCGAAATTAGTGGGTTAAGTGTTAATAAAAGTTTTAAATAAATGAATTTACATGTGGAGATTGGGTGAATCTCGAGGCTAGCTGACTCCGTCTATTGAGCAGCCACGAAGAGACGTCAGTTGGGCGGGGACATTGTCAAAACAGCCAGAGGGAAAAATCCATATGAATATTTGTTATAAGAGTCGATTCATAATTCAATAAGACAATTTCCGGAATCAGTTCTAGTTTTATCATAGGCGCTATGCATCGTCGCTCGGGTACAATGAAAGCTAAATTAGATGCCGTTTCAAATACGACAGCTAATATATAGACAATTCTCACTTTTCGCGATGTCAAAAGAGTATACATTCTGGTTTATAAATCATGAAAAATTCACACAGCTGTCTCTCATAATGGGGATATATGTATACCGCAACTTGTCCAGCATATCAATGTATTATTATCCACGGATATTCAATTGTCACCCCACCGTGGGCTGTTTATATAGCGAGTGAGGGATGTATGTATTCTTGTTGAACAGAATCGGTATTTTTCATACACGTGAGATCGGGCGTTAACATATTGTTGCAGATTTCAAAGAAACGAGTATCTAATCCAAGTGTCCAGTACCTTTTGTTAAATGCAATAAATAAAATATTAATAACACCAAATTGGTAATTGTGATATTTATTTTCACATGCGGCGACTCTAAGTCCGCGTTATGAAGAATTTATGTTAAGAAAATCCTAAAAATAATAAATTTATAGTTCAATTAAAAATATTTAGGGATATTAAATACCTTCCGTTTTCATTGCATTCGCATCGCACACATAAATTTATTTTCGCGTCGATACACATGCGTCTTAAGTTATGAATAATTTTCTTTTATCTTATTAACCTAACTTTGGATTTAGTCTGCTGCTTTGTGATTTCCAAAGGCTTAACATTTGGAGATCTTTGTATATTTTAACCCGATGAAACAAGTTGAGGAAATAACCGCAATGGGTATTTATTGAACGTATCAAATATCAAATTTCCGTTTACGTGTAGCTTTTACGCATTGCGTGTAAACACGGGTCGGTTTCCATTCATGTTGTGCAACTACTCTCGATTATGTGTGAATTTCTAGCCAATTTCCATCAAATGTTGTGAAGTGTATTGCAGTAAAATGAATCAAATTCATGAATAACAGGTTTGTAGAATTGTTTTTTTAAAATGTGGTTGCTAGGAGACGGGCGTTATGTTTACATTCACATGACACGGGCTGTGAACTCATATTGGGTTTGAGATTTCCTTGAATACTTTCCATTATTCTTAATTAATAAGGATGAAAAAGGTGCAAGATTTGGGTGCGGGCGTTCCATTTCCTGGTTTTTAATTATTTCCGTTGCTATGGAAATGTCAGTTTCTCTCAGTATTTAATTTCACCATGTTTATTGGGTCTTTTGTGTCAAATAATTCATACGAATGTTATATTTACAATTATAATATTAACCGTACCAAAATATACAATGCTCCCTTCTCTAACGCCGATGTGTTCTATAATATTTACCTGTTCAATAAAACACATCTCAAATACGATCTGAAGATAATCCTCAACCATTTTCCGTTGCAATTAACCAAACTCAAACATGGTGCCATTTGAAATTACCGTGTATATGTACACCGTTGCATGTCAAATACATTCATTGAACGCTTGTTCCGGTGTATTAATGGAATGTAACTTACAATGAATACTTCTCGGCGTTAGGGGTTTCTATTTCAACGTCTTGTCAAAAGACTGTTTTGAAAATTTGTGTAACACAAAGTTGTCTAATTGCCTTAGGATAAGCACCCAACGAATCACAATACCTCTTACAGACCTGCTGATTAACTAAAAAACCTCCACACTAACAATTAGCTTAAATCGTTGATGGAACCGCCATAATGAAATGATTATAATATCAAAGTTTTCTCGAAACAAAGGTGGAGTTTGAGACGTCACGCACGCCGGTGTTGTAACTTAAAAAGTAACTACAATTCCTTTCAACGCTGCTGAATTGAGTCCCTGTCCGTCTTCCCTACCGCTCCATAATTTCATTTTGGCACGCACTTCATGAAAGAAACCCGCTTTGCGTTCTGTGCTGGTTCCAAAACACCCCACACTTTCTCCGCCAAGAAAGACATAATTTTCGTCCTCCACGTCCTGATGACTAGGATCTGATGGCAGTTGCACTCCGCAAATCGTTAGGAGCATTTATCTCGATAAATTAAGCTGCAATACGGCCGAGCAATTTCGACATCAACAGCCGAATAGGCGGGACGATCGATGGAGCTTTGTCCAATTAAATGCTATCATATCGGGATCAGGTCGGTCGATCGGCTGATGCACTGCTAGTAAGACTGATCAATCTGGACGGTTTGCAGGAAAGCAGTATCGCACTGAATAACGTTATGCTAGTAATTGCATTACAACTGATTTGAAGAGATAAAGGGAAAGCCGTGTGAGCGATATGCGCCCCCGGTCTTATTGGAAGTTGGAGATTTGCTAGAAATACGACTCGAGATCAAGGGAAGAGGGAGCCCTCTGTTGACAGGGCCTGGAGATGGTTTAGGGATTCATTTTTTGTTTGTAATAGTGTTACTTCAACCATGTGTTCGGAAACCAATTCTTTATCCTTTCTATATTCTAAATTGCCTCAAAGCGGTAAATATGTTCCATCTATATAGAAAGTGCCCACTGAAAGCCCTCCTCTGAAGGGGAATACATTTCATCTGATGTATCGATTCCAGCACGTGCAGCCAGACGTGGCACCCTCCCCGCTCCCCTCCACCCCCACCCCCAGTACTATGGCAGAACACAGTAACATTGTGAAACAACCTCGTTGCGTCGCGCCAATGTACATGTATACGGTAAACATACGTCATAAATGTGACTGCAGCAAATCACGGTGATGGGTGAGGTTATGTTTGATTTTTTTCGCAAAATGATAAAACATTGTTAGCACCGCAATTTCAATAACCCTGACAGTTGCGATGAAAATTACAAACAAACATTGCGACGTATGACATCAACATCACGTACAGATGTATGGCAAATAAGTATCGTGTTTCATGTTCCGATCTGTTTCAACAGGAAGCCGGATTTGATTTCCTGAATTTATCTTGTACGACAAAAACATGGTCTGGTGGGGTTGCATGTCACGTAATGGCTAAATTTCCTGTACCAACTAAATATCTCGTCGTTTTGTGAAAAAATATAAAGTGAAACAAGACTGCCTTGATCTGACCAGTCGGATACATAAGGTAGATAAGTCGGTGACCTTTGCAGGCCAATGGTGATCTAAGTACACTCTGTCTCTGTAGTTGTTGCTGACGGTGCTGGTGTGGAGACAGTCGTTGCTGTATGTCCCCATTGAATATACCGCTAAACCTGTTTAATCCGTTGGTTCACCGCCATGTTTTCACCAGATTTACGGACATTCTTTACAACCACTAATCCACCAAACGTTGTTTAATCAGAGTCAAATCAGTCACAATTTGATTAAAGCTTTCAAAACGATGTATTTAAGAAATGTTGATGATATGATCCCGTGTTTTCTCAGGTGAACAATTGTCTTGACTTTGCACGTGTTTGCTACGGTGCCATCGTTGAGCAGGATACGCTTATCTTTTCCCGAACACATGATATCATCATTGTTTCATAGAGATTCATTAATACATGCTCATGAAATAGACAAAATCATGCAATGTGACTCAACTTTGGGTAGAGATTCCCCGTGGTTATGAAGATGGTATAATGGTTTTGGTCTCGTACATTTACTGCCACAAAAGCGGATAGCCTTAGTTTCGGTTTCCAGAATACCAGTGTCCGGGTTAACATGGTTATAGTGACTTCATATACGTCCAACAAAGGCTGGCCTCCATCAAGATGTCGGAATAGCGAGGTTTGGTTAATGTCCACATTTCCAATTCCAATACACAAACACAGTCCCGAATAAGGATTTATTGTCCTGCACAATTGTACTGAACATGTTCTAAAAGAGATATGAGTTTCCGGAACACAAGATGTATCTGCTGTCCAGATGACATCGGAGATTATGTGGACATTACTGGACATTATTTGTCTGCGTTGATCAATTGTCGGAGTCAATATTTGCAGTAACCCCCCCAGTTGTCTGCAGTGTGGCTGTCTGTTAACCCACATAGATGCTCATGGTGTTTGACAAGTAAATGCTTGCTTTCAGGTGTGGCAACGTTCGTTGATCAATCATTAAACAATCTGAAAAAAGAATTCAAGGTCAGCATGGAATTGGTTAAATAAGAATTGTCAATGGCAGAAAGGTTACGTCAAAATGTTAGCGTTTCTGTTGGATTCATTCCGATCACCAACTGATTTCGAGTTAAGCGGTTCAAGTGACTTCTTCTAAAACGAATTATCGAGAAAAGGGAGAATAGAATAGCTAGATTTCAATACATGTGAATTAGGAGAGCGATTAAGTTCAGACACGTACATCAATATGCATAACAGTCACAGAGTTCGTCTTCATAGAATGTCGTAAACGAAGCACTGTGCTTTTATCAATAACTTTGTTTATTTTTGTCATATTGTTATTGTGAATATTATACTCCCCAGGATAGCCCCCGTGACCCGGGGACTTCTCATATACACGATCATGTAGTTTCCCCACCAGGCTGTCATACACACCCTGAAACAACTGTATCCAAGAAAGCCCGTCCAAGTCTAGACTATAAAGCGGGATTACCACAGTTTCAGGGATGAAGAAAGTCTCTGGACTCCTTTTCATTTGATTTTATGATTATGACTAGGAACTGTTTTTTTCTGTAAAATATGCTCATTTCAGGGACAAGATGTTAGTCTATATCTTCACCCATGAAGATCCGGGTTAGAATTGGTCTTCAGTAACCCATGCTTGTCGTAAGAGGCGACTAACGGGATCGGGTGGTCAGGCTCGCTGACTTGGTTGACGCGTGTTATTGTATCCCAGTTGCGTAGATCGATGCTCATGCTGTTGATCACTGGATTGCCTGATCCAGACTCGATTATTTACAGACCGCCACCATATAGCTGGAATACTACAGAGTGTTAAGCAACAAAAAAACCCCAAACATTAGTATCTTCATTGTCCTTGGTGTTTGACCGATTTTAGATTTTAGCTCCGTCGCGTTATGAATGGTGCTTGTCACGTGACATCAGAGAAACCCCCGAAGACAAAATAGCTGAACAGGTTGATGTTGGTACTCTAACTCAGACTTATTTTAGAAAGCTATGCATCTTCATCTTCTATATAAGCACCCTAAAGAGGCTACGGGCCATCAACGTTCGTCCTACATAGAACCGCTATTGGAAGAACACGGTTTAGCAGATGTGTCTCAACTTTCACTGCTAATAATGTGCCTGGCCGTATTTACAAGTAATAACGTTCCACAGTTTACACTGTTCTACGTGTTATAGAGATATTTCTGAGTTAAACTGTCCTACTTGAATGTATAAAACATCCTGCGTTACTTGAGACCATTCAAATGACGCGTGGAAGTCGCGGTGGCTGAGCGGGTTAGGCGGCTGACCTTGTGTGCTGGCGATTAGGGTATAGGTTCGAATCCCGGATGGGGCTCAACTAAAAAAGTACTACAATTTGTATCTTTACTTGGAAAGTGTAATCCCAAATATAACATATGTTACATTCAAATGACAGTGTATATTATAGCAACGGCCATTTGCTTTCTCAAACGGTCACACGGTGTACCATTAGAAACCTGGTAAAATTGTTGAAATATTGTCTTTCGGAGCTAAATGTTGAATATTATTCTTATATACTTCTCTAATTATAATGAGGCTCGGTGGTTTCGATGATTGTAAGTCCACTAACCTGTTTGTATGTCCACCAACTCTGATTGTATGTCCACCAACCCTGATTGTATGTCCACTAACTCTGATTTTATGTCCACCAACCCTGATTGTAAGTCCACTAACTCTGTTTGTATGTCCACTAACCCTGTTTGTATGCCCACTAACCCTGATTGTATGTCCACCAACCCTGATTGTATGTCCACTAACCCTGATTGTATGTCCACTAACCCTGATTGTATGTCCACCAACTCTGATTTTATGTCCACCAACCCTGATTGTAAGTCCACTAACTCTGATTGTTTGTCCACCAACCCTGATTATATGTCCACCAACTCTGATTGTATGTACACTAACTCTGTAAGTCCACTAACCCTGATTGTATGTCCACTAACCCTGATTGTATGTCCACCAACTCTGATTGTATGTCCACTAACTCTGTAAGTCCACTAACTCTGATTGTATGTCCACTAACCCTGATTGTATGTCCACCAACTCTGATTGTATGTCCACTAACTCTGATTGTAAATCCACTAACTCTGATTGTAAGTCCACTAACCTGTTTGTATGTCAACCAACTCTGATTGTATGTCCACTAACTCTGATTGTAAGTCCACTAACTCTGATTGTATGTCCACTAACCTGTTTGTATGTCCACCAACTCTGAGTGTATGTCCACTAACTCTGATTGTAAGTCCACTAACTCTGTTTGTATGTCCACTAACTATTTGTATGATTGTATGTCCACTAACTCTGATTGTAAGTCCACCAACTCTGATTGTATGTCCACTAACTCTGATTGTATGTCCACTAACTCTGATTGTATGTCCACTAACTCTGATTGTATGTCCACTAACTCTGATTGTATGTCCACTAACTCTGATTGTATGTCCACTAACTCTATTGTATGTCCACTAACTCTGATTGTATGTCCACTAACTCTGTTTGTATGTCCACCAACTCTGATTGTATGTCCACTAACTCTGATTGTATGTCCACTAACTCTGTTTGTATGTCCACTAACTCTGTTTGTATGTCCACTAACTCTGTTGTCCACTAACTCTGTATGTCCACTAACTCTGATTGTCCACTATCTGATTGTATGTCCACTAACTCTGATTGTATGTCCACTAACTCTGTTTGTATGTCCACTAACCTCTGATTGTATGTCCACTAACTCTGATTGTATGTCCACTAACCCTGATTGTATCTGATTGTAGTCTGATTGTACTAACTTACCTCTGATTGTATGTCCACTAACCCTGATTGTATGTCCACTAACTCTGATTGTATGTCCACTAACTCTGATTGTATGTCCACCAACTCTGATTGTATGTCCACTAACTCTGATTGTAAGTCCACTAACCCTGATTGTAAGTCCAATAACCTGTTTGTATGTCCACCAACTCTGATAGTATGTCCACTAACTCTGATTGTAAGTCCACTAACCTGTTTGTATGTCCACTAACCCTGATTATATGTCCACTAACCCTGATTGTATGTCCACCAACTCTGATTGTATGTCCACTAACTCTGATTGTAAGTCCACTAACTCTGATTGTATGTCCACTAACTCTGTTTGTATGTCCACCAACCCTGATTGTATGTCCACTAACCCTGATTGTATGTCCACTAACTCTGATTGTATGTCCACCAACTCTGATTGTATGTCCACTAACTCTGATTGTAAGTCCACTAACTCTGATTGTATGTCCTCTAACTCTGATTGTATGTCCACTAACCCTGATTGTATGTCCACTAACCCTGATTGTATGTCCACCAACTCTGATTGTATGTCCACTGACTCTGATTGTAAGTCCACTAACTCTGATTGTAAGTCCACTAACCTGTTTGTATGTCCACCAACTCTGATTATATGTCCAATAACTCTGATTGTAAGTCCACTAACTCTGATTGTATGTCCACTAACTCTGATTGTATGTCCACTAACTCTGATTGTAAGTCCACTAACCCTGATTGTAAGTCCACTAACTCTGATTGTATGTCCACTAACTCTGATTGTATGTCCACTAACCCTGATTGTATGTCCACTAACCCTGATTGTATGTCCACTAACTCTGATTGTATGTCCACTAACTCTGATTGTATGTCCACTAACTCTGATTGTATGTCCACTAACCCTGATTGTATGTCCACTAACTCTGATTGTATGTCCACTAACTCTGATTGTATGTCCACTAACTCTGTTTGTATGTCCACCAACTCTGATTGTATGTCCACTAACTCTGATTGTATGTCCACTAACTCTGATTGTATGTCCACTAACTCTGATTGTATGTCCACTAACTCTGATTGTATGTCCACTAACTCTGATTGTATGTCCACTAACCCTGATTGTATGTCTACTAACCCTGATTGTATGTCCACTAACTCTGATTGTAAGTCCACTAACTCTGATTGTATGTCCACTAACTGTATGTCCACTAACTCTGCTTGTATGTCCACCAACTCTGTATGTCCACCAACTCTGATTGTATGTCCACTAACTCTGATTGTATGTCCACTAACTCTGTTTGTATGTCCACTAACCTGTTTGTATGTCCACCAACTCTGATTGTATGTCCACCAACTCTGATTGTATGTCCACTAACTCTGATTGTATGTCAACCAACTCTGTATGTCCACCAACTCTGATTGTATGTCCACTAACTCTGGTTGTGTGTCCACAAAATCCCATAGGGGTTTGCTTGCTGATTCGACTCGTCCTGGCATGATTACTACAAATGTGATATTATTTTAACTGTTGTACCTAATAACAAAACACTGTCTATGTACTTATAAAATTACTGAAAATACCAGGTAATCGCTAAAAGTTGAGCCTATCCTGCCCCATCAATGGCACCAGTCACAAACACACGCTAAGCCAAGTCAACTTTCCACCTAAAGAAAGCAGTCAATAAAATGGTGCTGGTAAAAATAGAGAACTGCATCAAACATATTTTTTGTCACTGATGCGGTAAATATGGAAATATCCGCCACAGGGTTTTAAGGCTTTACTAAGGCCTTGAATGTAATGACCTTCATCAAACGTCATTCACTTACGCAGACCCAAACTAATCCCTCGCTATACATATCTACGAGAGGTCAGTCACTTTGTCCCGACCTTGTCTCTTAGTCGATACTTTGGTTACTCTGCTTGTAGATTTCCTTCAGTTTGTACCATGCTTTGACAACCAGGCTCCATACAGATCTGTGACTGACATGGTCCAAATTGTGTGTCTTGTCCCAGAGTTCGGCCTAGTAACGTTTTTAGTCCAGAGACCAATTCGTGTAAGCCTGTGACAGAGTTAGGCAAATACTCCGCAGCACACTGTCAGTGTACGTAGCTCCACCCTCCAGTGTCCACTCGTGATAAGACCAATGGCTATTGATATTCGCTGACCAATAGAGCCCAGGCTGTGATAACAACACAGATCTGTTTACCAATCAATAACGCCAGTCAACAGATCGGAATTAGTACCCTGATCATTCACTCCTTCGGCAAGACGGCTTAAAACCACGAGACGTCTTAGATTTATGAGCAACATAAGTCGTCGGGTAAACAATATCAGTTAGTTTAGTCTAGCCCGACACAAGCCACACGGTACAATATGTATGTCAATACGGCCGATATTACGTACACAGGTATATACAGCAAGCGTCAGTAAAATCCTATTGAACAGCGCCCGTGTTAATATTATGTAACACCGGCTCCCCTGCGAGAGACATTAACAGTATCGCAGCACTGAGAACAAACAGAACCGTCCCAAACAGTCTGAAAAGTAATTTTACTATCAATACCTGGATGAGAAAGTCCTAAAGCACACGATATGATTAGGTTTACACAGATATAGGTGATGTCCATTGTACCACAGTGCGATATCTGTGCCTGGGGAACCTGAACCAGAGATGTTCTATTCATCTGGGCACGAGTGTCGATGTTTGACACCTGGAACACCAGAACAGCGTTCTAGCGGCCGATGTAATTCTTGTTTCTCTGTGTAAGTGTGGGTGTTGCATGTTTAAGTTTGTAGCGCATCGATGAGAGAGCTTAGTGCGCTGGTTTTGTAAATAGAAATATTTGATAAATACATAATTGAGGTGTTGATGTGGGATATACGATACCTTTGTTGCACGGCATGAGTTGACGTTGTACCAGGCGTGTTCATGTAACGTCATTCGCCATTCTCGGCGTTCGATAGTCCGCTTTTCGTCCAAACTGGTATTGCAGGGTTTCAAATAACGTTTTTCGGAGAACTCCGCTTATTGTACGAGCAGTGTGGTAGTACGGTTTAATATATGAATACCCTATCTATAGCATTTCTAATGTCATTCAGTTCCACGCTGTTTGCCCATCTACTTTTGTGCCATTCAGTTCCACGCTGTTTGCCCATCTACTTTAATGTCATACAGTTCCACGTTGTTTGTCCATCTACTTTCATGTCATTCAGTTCCACGTTGTTTGCCCATCTACTTTAATGCCATACAGTTCCACGTTTAATTTCAACTTGTTTGTCCATCTACTTTAATGCCATACAGTTCCACGTTGTTTGTCCATCTACTTTAATGTCATACAGTTCCACGTTGTTTATCAACCTACTTTAATGTCATCCAGTTCCACGTTGTTTGCCCATCGCGGTGCCCAATGTCATCACATGTTCACCAAGCTACTTGAATTCTAACTATTCTAAACCCATCAGTTGTCATAAAGTTTCTTCTGGCATTAATCCGCTTACTGTAATTGTTTGATTTGCTGTGGTACCAGAGATTAGTATGAATAAAGTATACGGCCTTAGGTATCTCCGTCTACTGTACTGTATGTAATGCTTTACGTGAGGGTGAGATTCGTAGGGCGGGGAAATGTTTGCAAACACCTGGTGTCATCAATGAATTTCTATGATTCCTTCATATATTCCCACCCCTATTTTGCCCTCACAGCCAAAGTAGGGAATACTCGACAATACATGTCTTTCTCTGGACGTTAGGTATGTATTTGTAGTTGCATGGTATAGTTGTATTAAGCTCGGTCGCGGCTTCACCACACGGCCTGGAACCATTCCGTTCCCTCGTTTCTCATCCAAGTCTTAGATCCGGCAACAGCCAACGTTCTTGAGGCAGGCTCAACATTACGCTACATCACGATGGAAATGTATGTCTTGAATAATCCAAAAACTACTTCGAATTTCCAAAATCTTCAAAACTCTGTTATCAAAAGCAACTAATCTGAACCGTAATAGGATGTGGAGGATTATAATACACAATCAGTTCGGCTTGGGCGTTGAAACAAGAAATTATATAAAAAAAACGAATTATAGCGAACATTTTGAAAGATGTATCTAAAACATATTCAAGGGAGCCGCAAGGGTTAGGCATCTGCAAGATTGAACAACAGTACAATTAGACCCAGATTTGTTTATGATAATTTAATGAAAAAAATACTTCTTTTGAAAAACATGATCAGAACCAATGCAAAATTCGATAAATCGTAACGAACCAGTTTCTTTCAAGAATGCCGCAGAGAAGATTGATGATAGGGTTAGGCCAAAATATGACTGGGAATTTGTTTTGGACATGCATTTCTGTTACTTTCTTAAAACTGCAGTCTGAGCGATGGTACTGGGATGGGAATGTTTGGGAGGATATGTAGCATCAAACCAGGGCAAACAGTAAGAGTAAATATTTTCCAAAGTCTAAAATTGTAAATAGAAATTTGCAAATTGAAATGATACAAGAGCTCATATCGTGCTCGGGGAGGTGTCCTCCGTCTCAGGTTGGGGTGGTGGCTCGTCCGGTGGTGATCCGACATTTTCTTCTTCAAGACATGTCTGTAGAACTGATGTTGCTTCGATCCATATACTAACGGATCTTTGTTCCTGCCTGTGGCTTTGCCATACCTCGACCCAATAGCACGGGTTGTACTTGTAGATCCACCCTTATTTCAATCCTTTCTGTTTGTTTTCGTTTTGATTATAATCCTTTTTGTCACTGTTTGTTTTCGTTTTGATTATAATCGTTCCTTTTGTCACTACCATACCGAGGTTTGATGGCGCTCCCCAAAGTGGTCAGTATAACGTCTAACACATGCACATAAAACCAGCATCAGGCTACAAGCAGCCGCCTGGAATCTCACGCCGTGATATAACTGAAATACTGTCAGAACGGCTTCAAACCCAATCAATCACGGTGGCGGTGGGGTAGCCTTGTGGTTAAAGCGTTCGCTTGTCACGCGAAGACCCGGGTTCGATTCCCCACATGGGTACAATGTGTGAAGCCCATTTCTTGCTTCCCATTGCTGGAATATTTCTAAAAGCGGCGTAAAACTAGACTCACTCACCGTTCACTCACAAATATAGATATGGCGTCATCAGGTTTGTTCTGGTACCACAGAGTTATCTGTATCACGCTATACGTACGACTACCGGATGGCGACTCGGACGAAGACCGGATGACGACTCGGATAATGTCGGACGTCAGGATCAACGTCATCCATGTGAAACAACTGCTTGGAAAAACTTATTTTATGTAGCAAACGGCGGTTTACCTGAGCCAGTATGTCGAAGCCTTACTGAACATGGAAAATAAAAAATATCGTCAACATGTGTACATTCAAAGATTTATTTTGACTCATACTACCTCACATATGAAATATACAAACGAATTACGAAACACTGTAATCAACATACTACATAGCAATGCAACTATGGCTGTCACGAACATCTGAACGTATGCGACTTACAATATCTACAACATTCTAATGACTCTTTAAAAGGTTAAATCTGTTAACATGGCATAATTATAGCTAATCTCCTTTGACTGGGACAGCTTTTGAATTACAGCGCTTCTCACCAAAGTGAAAATTCCATTTTAGTGTTCACAGTCATGATATAATAAGAATAGATGTGGATGCGGCATAAAACTATACTCACTATTCTCATCATAAGCATCCGACATCAACACCGTTCAACTCCTTTTACGTTTAAAAGCCTGTCATGACTAGAATATTGTGCTGTGGGCGTTCTCCCCAGCTTTGCTCCCTCATCCATACACGCAAAAATATATTTAAAATAAATATTTACATGTGACTAGTAGTATATGTTTATATATGTGTATCTTTGTCCCTGTTAACACTGAACAAAATATATATCTCTCAGTGCTTGCCTGACAGCCTCACAACCATATAAAGCCTAGCGTCAAAAAGCCAACTGCCTCACTCTAGAGATAATTTCTTATAGTGTTTTTAGTTCAAACTCAAATATGATTTATGTCGCACCCTTGACATTAATGCGTTAATGCACTCATATTAACTCATAGAGTCCATACACAAGAAGTCTTTAATATTTTCACGGCTTGAACTAACGAAAAAAACAGAGAGATTTGCCATTGAATGTGTCTCTCATCTGCTCATCATTAAGAGGTGATAGTTGAGCTCTTATCATTTCCCGTATCGCACAGCAGATAAACCTACGCGTGTTCAGAGTGGTATAAGACAGGGTGCAGTGCTGGCACCGCATCTGTCAGCATCTCACATGCAGCCTATGATGCCGTGCATCACTTTGCATTAACCCAACGACGTGCTCGTATCATCCATGAAAGCGGGCATTATTGTGTCATCATATGAATTTAGTAAAAACGTGATTTAAGTTCACATTTTGTCATCGATGTCTTATTAAGTATTTAATTTCTTGCTTAATTAAATCCAATTTGAAAGTGTATGGTATGAAAGATGTAAGTGGAGTTATCAGTCGAAATAGATTCATTTCTACATATAGTTAACCGAAGTAGAAATATTAAAGATAATCTTTCTATACTGGATATATTAGATAAATCAATTTTGCAGGTTATGACAAACTGACTATTATATATATCTCCTTGTGCTCTGCTGTTCATATAACCATTACTGTAATTACAAACCGGCAACACACAGCAGCAACCAACCATTTTAGTTTCTAAAAGGAATTTTTTTCTCCTGAACTGACTTTCATTCACAATCCATACTAAAATTCGATTCATTTTTACTTAAGTGCTACGAGTTCGTTTCGGTTTTGGGTGGATAATATAGTTTTTGAATTCTCAGTGGATTCCAAGACACGTGTGACACACGGTGAGAGACAGTTATAGATTTAGTTGTTTTATACTGTAGGCTTAGCATTCCAGTGCAATATATAAACAAACAATATGTAACATATACAGAATACATGTGGTGCTTACAGCATCAAGGTCACAATGACAACACGCATGATGTCCTACAGCAAACACTCATGCATAGAACGATGTGAAGCTAGAACGGTATGCGTGATGTCCCCTAAATAACGTCCACACATTCGATAAATATATACTTGTTGTCCTCTTCTGGGATTAAGGGGAACACGGCGGGATGACCTGTAACGCCACAGTACCTCTGGATATAAAACTATGGCGGTTAAGTTCTCTGGTGACAGCTATATACGTGATGAAGACCATGAGGCGTGATGTACTCTGATGACCAATGACATCTAATGAATGTGGAGCATGTCATCCGATGAATAACGATGCATTGATGAAGAATTAAGCGTGATGTCCTCTGGAGAATATTGAAGCATTAAATGAAGACCATGAAGCATGATGTCCTCCGATGTATAATGGTGCATAAGTTGAAGAATTAAGCGTTATGTCCTCTGGAGAATATTGATGCATTAGATGAAGCGTATTGTCCTGTGATGAATAATGATGCATTAGATGAAAAATTAAGCGTGATGTCCTCAGGAGAATATTGATGCATTAGATGATGACCATGAAGCATGATGTCCTCTGATGAATATTGATGCATTAGATGAAGAATTAAGCGTGAGGTCCTCTGATGAATGAATATTAATGCACTAAATGTAGACCATTAAGCGTGCACTTCTACGATGAACAATGTCACATAAGAAGACCTCAAACAGTGATGACATCAGATGTAAGGCTTGGCTGTAAAGGTTACGATGTTCGTGTTTCACTCTTCTGGACGCAGGTACGTTAGCTGGACGAGAGTTGAGAGACATCATCACTATATAATTCCTGGAACTTCCGGAATGGTGTTGTGGGTCGTCCTGGACATCTAGCCAACAGCCCTGAAAGCAAATTAATAAACTAAATATACCGCTCATTGCTCCTCCTTGCCACATTAAACATTAGGGAGAAAGAATGTCAACGTTCACTCCCAAAACCCAAAACAAATTTTCCATCGAAGTAAAAATGATAATTGTATATTTATGTTGCGGTTATACAATGCAAAACGTCGAATCAGAGACTCTTAATAGAAAAAACAAACAAAGGCGTGCGGGATGGCCACATCTCCTGAATAAATACCACTTGTATAGCAATCTCCGAGTTTATCCATTGTCTCCGTATCACGATTCCAAATAGCTGACAAAATAAATACACAGTTCCCTATATACTCGAAGAGTGTCTGTATCTATCAACGCTCAACCACAGGTACTTGGGGTGACATTTGGGGAGGGATTTGAGATACTAGTTACAGCATAGCAACGTAAATAGAACGCTCCATATCCGGATAGCCTGACGCGTGATGATAAAACAATCCCAATAGATTATTTACCAATAGACCATGCTGAATTTATGTAAGCTTGATACATTCTGAAATGTGGATGTTTTGTGATATTGTGGGGCATGGTGCTGGAGTATGCTATTTCACTAAAATAGATCTTCAAGACATTAAACAGTGTTTTGCGATAACAGATTCTGGAGGAATGTGAGATGGTTTAACTTTCATATGCGATATAAAGAAGAATATTTCCCCTAGGCGTATATCTGGATAACACACCATAGTGTATCACTATCGTCAAACAAGCTAGAGGTCAGTATAGCGTATGAAGGCAAAGCAGGCTAAATAAATGGGCGATTTCACTTGGAACCATAATACAGAAAACTAGTCGTTCGTAAATGATAGCGACAAATATTCCATTATCATAAGCAATATCTACTAAAACACGTCGTCACATGAGCGAAATATTCTCAAGCACGACGTTAAATCCAGTTTCACCTCACCTCACTAAAACAATGTCACGTATTGTGCGTTCATTGGTGATTGTGCGGCTCCGACAATATCATAAGCAAGTATTGTTTAGTAGTTAATAAATAGTTCTGATATCGGGTGTTGGCGGAAAGGTGACTCTGTCCAAACGGCAATACTTGTGACAAACACATGCAAAGCCAAGCCTACGTTGACTAACACGATTTTGAAATATATGGCGAAAGTAAAAATTAGGAATTACATCTGACATCATTTGTGTAACTATTTCTGTTGTTGTTAGGCTACTGTAAAACAGTGCCGTTGTGTAAAGGGTTGAAGGTCTCAGCAGCCGCAGCCTCTGTGTCATCTTCATCACCTGGATGGCCCGTGTGTTTGCTTTAATAACGGGTTTAGTCAGTAAGGATATAACAGTCGAATCGGCTATGCAAACACTCACTAGCATCATGAAATTTAAAACATCCTTGAAAAATCAGAAACGACAGAAAGTTGTTATCCATAAGGTATTATACTTTTCTATGTTCGTAATAAAGATAATTAAAATAAATTAAGACTGTTATTGAAGTTATTTTTCACATCAACTTTATGAGCTTTCATAAATAAAAACTATGATTATGTAAGTTTCTGCATCGGTCATTTCGACATTTTCGTAGTGGCAAATGTCCCACTTCAGTACTTAGAAAATAGCAACGATCCTTTGGACAGAGCTGTTTTCAATTATAACTGTTCTGACATGTCTCCAACATTCATCATTGCTTATTGCCGTACGTCTTGCAGCAATAAGATATTCACTTGTTATCGATTGGAGTTTATCTGTAAACTTCCATACATATACGTAATAGGTCTTCATCACAGAATTGCCATAGGGCATAAAGAATATAAATCATGTTGCCATGCAAGAGATAAGGAGTATTCGTATTCATTTGGTCTACATAGATTTTTTAGCGTGATAACTCCATAGGTTATATGAACAAATATCGCGCTTAAAAACATTAAGTCACTCTGTGAATATTGTCAGCTTAAGCTATGTTCTTTCGCTGGATATGGAACATTCATTTGGGTTTAATGCACAAATATCGCTCGTTATGCTTTAAATCTTCTTTTATGCTTATCTTTCCTCAGACAAGAAATCTATCTTTTGTTTAGAGAAACAAATACACATGTCCATATTGTATTCTCCCTAAGACCGATGAAGACGTCTTTGTAACAATCAGCATCAGACCACCATCGTCATCCATGATGATGATTGTATAAAGTCGAATTAACATATTAGTAACATGTTCCCATTAAATACACTAGAATAAAATGAATAAAGACAAGCATTTGGCATCATTTAAATAAAATAGACAAGAATTATATATACTTGGCGGTGGTTTCAGATGCAACTGATGATATGGGCATATTGTAAAAATAAAGAAAAATGATTTTAATGAAAAAAATAACTCCACATGGTAGAACCAGCACGCCAGCAGTAACGACCCACGTGTTCACAACGCAACAATACCCTCACCAGGACTTCCCTACAGAAAGAAAACGGGAAAAGGTCTCTCCACCTTCGGCTTGAAACAATGAGATCGTGTAAACAGTCCAAGAAGACATTTTTGACATTCCTCTTTATGAATTTGTACATTAAAACCTACTCATAGTTCCAGTCCACAACACGATCCTGTGGGAAGCTTTATGCTACAGATAGATCCTATCCCGTCCCTAGATAAGTATCTGTAAGTTCGTAGGCAGTGATGGACATTAATATGTTATGCTAGAGACATTCTATGAGAAAGAACAATACCGTGCGTTCACCAAGCAATACTCTTCTAACCCATGTGCGGCGGCTGCACTTTCTTGCTCATTTCTATAAAAACTTCTATAAATAACCTAAGCAAATAAACGCTGTTGTTATCAGAGTGTGAGGATTAGGCTCCATGATGGCAGTATGCAGGAGACTGTAGGCAAACCAGGGGGCGCTGGCCCTGTCCAGACTAACAATTCAGGCCTAATAATTTGTTGATTTAACACGATAAATTTCTATTTTATTTTCAGGTTAAATTAAGATAGGAAACGATTAATTTTGAAAAAAGTCTTTCCCTGTCTTACATTACCTACAATACATCGTACGCATCATCACGAAGTGTTTTGGAAAATAGTGATGTTCCGACTCATCTCAAATAGTAACAATAGTTGTTTGATATTGACAAACCTAAGCATTGTTGAAATTGGATTTCCTAACATTTTTGCGATACTGCTATTCCATAAAGCAACACAATTTAAATGATAAAATATTTTAAATATGTAGGTGTTACATTTTGTGCTTGAAGGTTTCAATTAACTTTATATACTTGTAAAACAACTGAAAGATTGTTGGTCATAACAACACGTTTGAGACAACAATTCCGTCAAAGCCGAATGGTAATGCTCATCAAATCGGGAATGGATACACATTACGAAGAACAAACTCACCAGACACCAATGAATCCAATCTAGGTTCAAAGTACACTTTAAATTAATTTTATTAAGGTGGAATTCCATTAAATATTAATTCAAAACATGTTTGCGGTGTATACAAGGTTCGATGTTGTTTCGTGCAAATTTACATTTATTACTTCCAGCATTTATTTTGTACAGATTATTTTACAAACGTTTTGACATCGTAATGTATTGCTTGATACAACGTTGACTTTATCAAGTTAATATGTTGTCTTAGTCATAGCCCGTTACTCAATAGTTTACACGGTTGGCGAAAACGATTTAGTCAAATACAGTGATTACGTCACGAGGCGATGATTGAACAGGCGAAATCGATGTAAAATCGCATTAGTGCGAATTTGAAAGATAACACATTTGATTTAAAATTATAGATCTTGTATTAGGTTTATTTTTTTCTTCATCAAAATCGATTTCTTACATTCTTATAAATCTGGAAAATGGCCTAAGGGCAATCGATATCATATTAACATAAAATGAAACATGATATTTTTTTAAAATAATAACTACCGTGAGAGTTATTACTACATTAGAACAAAGATGATTTTGTGTCCTGCAAACACAGATGTCAACTGGGAAATGACCAACGACTAATGACATCAACAAGGCTTGACAGTTCCGTCCAATCAAATCATCTCAAGATATTTGATGCCTCGGAGAAGCCACATACGGGCGATCAGGTACTTGATACTGTTTTCCAATCAACTAACAGCATCCTTAATACATCCTACTGTCTACGTGAGACAGTGGTTAGTGTAACAAGTCTTGTGTGTTTCTTCTCAATGCTCGTATTAAGGACTTACCTCTATACAAAGAGGCTTATTGGAGTGTGGGGGTCACATTAGGGACACGTTCAAGAGGTTTACCTAAACAAAAGGCCACCAGACACGACGTGTTTTCATGGAAAACAGTTTGAGAGAAAATATCATATTATAGAAGAAAGATTGACTCCACTCCATTAAATGTTGCGTCTCGTTTGGATTGCTAAGGATTTTGCTTTCCTACATAGGCTCACATGTCTTGTCGACGGCGCAATTTGGTTTATGAGGTTCTCACTATTGAAACCACACAAACGAAAAGTGGGGTTAAAATGTTAAACCTTATTGGCATATTTTTGCGATATGGCTGCTTTTGAGGTATTATTATTCGCTCAACATGCCGTAACGAGGAGCTGATGTGGAGAAGGGTCTATGGGGGATCTACTTTAATAACTTGCCATATACACTCTTCAGAAAATTGCGCCATATTCAAACGTAATCACGGGTAACAACGGGACGTAGTCTTTGTACAGAAACCACGTATAAAGGGTCTTTAGTCCTGAGCGCATTTGTTATATTTGGAGCTCGTGTTTCTCTAAATGCGAGAAGTCATGCGAAAGGTGTAAGCTAACATGTTAAGTGCTTTGTGCAGCGCTGACTTTGAAACGTTTTTGCATCAAATTTATGGAAATTTCTTTCAGTGTTATTCAGTGCATATTATTGTAATTTTAAACGTGGGCTTTTTCGCTTGATATTTAGCTAATCGTCCCCCTTATGACACGAGGAGCGTCAGTGTTTGAGCTCATCAGTGCAATTTTAGGCTCGCTTAACTAATACATTA